AGACTAATCGTGATAATGAAATTGATCATGGAGGTGAAACCTCAGTCCATGACTCTTCAGATGATGATATCCTAGATTAATTCTCTTAAACTCAAGAATCGATGAGTGAACAATACATTTCTAAGGACAAAAGAAAACACGGAATTCTTATACAGTCATTGGTTCAAGAGGAAGGACCTCATCAAGTGACATTTTGTGAAAAGAACTTGGACGACCCTGTTTTGCTAAATGACATAGGACAGTATTATTTCACCTCTTGCGATGTTTGTTCACCAAAATTTACTTTATATAAAGTTTGAAAATGGACAAATGCTGAAGGTAGGTGTGTATACAAAGGTGATTGGAATGAAACAGATAATGTAGAAGTGAAAAAACTCACCAGATTGATTAAAAAAATTACAAGTATCCGCCGGATCCAAATGGTAAATGGTGATGACACTTTTGTCTGGTATACTGAGGGTTAAAATTTGTGTATAGTACTAAACATATCAGGTAACTTATTTAAAAGTGCACAAATCCAGAAATAAGGTAAAAATTATTGTATTTCTACTAATCTTGAAATAGTTAAAAGTACGGACCCTGGAGCTTCACAGCCCTGGACTGGGATCCCAAGTCCAAAACTTAGTGCCGTGACCTTTGGCAAGTCAGTCAGCCTCTCTCAGATCTAGTTCCCTCATGTGTAAAATAGGATTAAAAAATTACTTCCTCTTTTATAGAGTTTTATAGAGAGTACATTTTGCATGCAAAGTGCTTAGCATAGTGCTTGGCACACAGGAAAAGATATATATCAGCTATGGATAGTGATTTTATTATGCTTGCGTTGCTTAGAACAGCTCTCGTCTATCAGATTTGGGAACCTAGACAGCGTATGTGACATGATAACCATATCCTGTTTAGTACCAACAGAATGTATCATCGCTAATGCCAGCTGCTCACACCAGGCTCCACGTTCCTGGTGAAGCAAAGCCACAGAGAGGAAGATGTCAGATTCTCAGATGAAGGCTGCTCAGGGGTCTGTGGACCCTGCAGAAGATGCTGCATAGGCCAGAGCACTGCAGCCTTTTAAACTCAACATTCATCTTCTCTTACACCAGGAAATTTCTTTTTCTGATTTTTAGATTGAGCAGGCATGACTTTAATGAACTCAAATTATACAAAAAAGTATAATGAACAGGGTAAAAATCTCCTAAAATCTCACCACCCAGAGAAGACACTATTACCCTTCCCGGCTTTTCTCTGTAGACACACATACACAGGCACACCATACTACACTTGCTGTTGAGTGCCTGTTTTTGTACTCAAGAATATCTTTCTATTCCATTCACTATAGATGTGCATGTTCATTCTTAGCAGGTCTCTAACTTTAAAACACTGCATTCCGTGCACATACAAAGTGGTAGTCAAAGGAAAATAGGAAAATCCGCCTTTAAATAATGGCTTAGCTCAAAAACTGAGGTGAGCTGTGAGGTTTGAGGGGATTTTAAAAACAAGCGAAAATCAGAAGTGTTTGTTTTTATTCTTATGAAAATATTGGAGAAAATGAGAACCTGGGCCCAGTATGTGCTGTGTGGCACACCCCATTCCCTAAATGGCTATTACTTGTGGAATGTGAAACTTGGGGAACTGAACTTTTAATAAAATGAGATCTTGCCTATAACCTCAGTATATTTTCAAGATTTAAAAATCTTATTTTATCTAGATCACAACTCTTTCGGTCTTGGCATCAAAACGTTATTTCTGAGTGTTAAGCAAATATGAAAAATATGGATCTGGATTCAGTCTTGCCTTTTACTGCCAGGCTGGGGGTTCACTCCGGAGGCCAGACATATGTGAGTCCTTATCCTCTGGATGCCACCATGTGCCTGGATAATCCAGGGTCCTGTAGACCTATAGAACTGAGGCCCCTCCTCAGGGGACACCTGAGGAACCTTTATCTGGAGGTCTGACCTCATCAGTTCTGGGATTCATTTCCACCCTGCCAGAAGTAAAAAGCATGGATGAAAATATGTTAATATACCAATATTTTTACCCATTTCTATATTCTTCTTCTTATGGCTACTGCTTAGAAAATCAAGGGTGTTTTTGCTTCTCCAATCCTAGATAATGAAAATACAGTTATAGTGAAAGAATCTGTATTAGATAAACCTCTGCTGACTTAAAGAGATTACATTCACAATTTTCAAACTTGGAAAAGAGTTTATAAAGCTGGGTTTACTCTGAAAGTGTTCTAAAACGACCTAATATAACTTGATCATTTTTGTATATCACAGGGAGCTTTAGCTGGGGGTGAGGGATCGGGGGTGCTGAGGCCCAGACTGCAGACGCAGGGAGAGCACGCACAGCTAGGGAAGAGCCCACAGCAGCAGCGGGAGTGAGCCCAGCTAACACCAAACCTAGGCACTGACGACACTAGCACAGAGGGAGGCGGATGGCCAACCAGCCACAGCAGGCCAGCAGCCAGGCTAAAGGGTGGCCCAGACCGGCCACCAAGGAAAAAGTTCAAAGTGGGCCTGGGCCTTCTGACCAGGTAACACCCTGTTTATCAAGCCTGGAATCACAAGCAGTATCCCAACAAACCATTGAGGGAAAAAGCAGATGGGTCCCACAGACAGCCACCTAATCTCCCTTCCCTGACATCAGGGCAGGACTGGGCTGGGGAGGGTTTCACTTGGCCCCCACTTGGGAGACAAGGGTAGTCAGTGGTGAAGAAATCAATCAGGCCATCTGCACCATTCTTCCTCCCCCGTCTCCCACTCAGGGCAGGTTACTAATGAAAGGAAATATGTTTTCACTACAAGAAAACTTATGATGGTGAGTCATCATTAAATTAATAAATAAACTTTTTATATAATAAGCCATACCACTCTCTCCAGGCTATTCACAGTGAAAACAACACAGGAAATGTCCAGGGAAATGGTTTTCTTTACATTCATGGCCTTTGGAGCAGTGGTTCTCAAATGTGGACTCTAGGCCCACAGTCTCAGCCTCACTTGGGAGCTTGTTAGAAATGCAAGTTCTCAAGTCCCACCCCAGACCCACTGAATCAGACACTCAGGGGACTGGACCCAGCAATCTAGGTTTTAACAAGCCTCCAGGTAATTCTGATGCAAGCTAAAGTCTGAAAATACTGGCCTAGTGGAAAGAAGCTGGGATGGGAGCCAGGAGACCAGATTCAGATTCCAGCTCTGGATTCCATGGTCCAATTTGAAGAAATTTAGTGAATAGTCATGGCACGCCTCTCTGTGCATTGCAGGCTAATGCAGGGATGTGAGGGTACCGAGAAGAGTTAGGCGTGGTCCTTATCCTCAGATGGCACATAATCCTCTATATTCTTTTGCTCCTCTAGGATAGGAGCTATTTTTGTTCTTGTTCTTATTTAGTTTTGTACTTGTGTTTCTAGTGCTTGTAGTGTCTCAGGCACTCAGTAAACATGTAGTGGATTGAGACGTAGAGCCATTCATGATTGAGATCAAGACTACTGTACCATTCTTCAATAATCTTAATGTCACCCCAGTCTAGTTAACACTAACTACTGTTGACTTCACACTTATTCCATGTTAGTGCCAAGTGTTCACCGTACATCATCTCATTCAGTCCTTTTAGACATGCTGTTGGTCCCACCCTGAACGTAAGAAACTGAGGCTCAAAATATTAAGTAATTGGTCCAGTGTCGTACAGCTAGAAAGTGGCAGAGCCAGTACTGAATCCAGAAATATCTTCTTCCAAAGCTCATGCTCATAAACATGGTGGTGGTCTCAATTGACTTTGGAGTAAATTTTCTGCCTCTAAGGTTGGTGGTTGTTATCTTCTTGCCAGGTAGGCGGTTATACTGCTCTTTCCAGGCATCACCTTAAGTGGTCAAAGACTAAGAAAACCACCAAGTACTAGGAGAGCCAGAGCATTGGTACCTCCACTTTATGAATTCATAGACCAGAAATAAAATTCCTAATGTGAGAGTGATAGATATAGGATTGCCAACTTTTTATTTGCCAAGCACAACCCTCTTCCCCAAGTAATGATCAACTATCTCCATCATTTTCTATAAGGAAAAAATAATTAATGTCAAAAAAGTACAAGAGACATAAGTTTGGAATAAAGAATAGTCTATTGCATTACATATATTTTCTTGACATATATACAATGATCATTTTGTTCTATTGTTCTCATTTTTCAGTAGATTGGTATTTGGCTTTCACTGAGCTCAGGAAAGTAAACAGTGGTAGGGAAACTACACTACTGGACTGTTCTGCCCCTTAAAAGTCAGACCAGGGGCCGGCCCGGTGGCGCACTGTACAGTGCGCCGCTTGGGAAGCGCAGCGGCGCTCCCGCCGAGGGTTCAGATCCCACATACAGACCGGTTCCCGCTCACTGGCTGGGCGAGGCGCGGGGGCAACACCGAGGGTTGCGATCCCGTTGCTGGTCCTGGTCCGGTATGGGGGCGACACTGAGGGTTGCGATCCGTTGCCAGACACGGAAAAAGACAAAAAAAAAAAAGTCAGGCCAAACTATTTCTAGAAGAACAAAAGTGGACACACTGGCCAGGCCAGGGCAGGCCTGAGAAGGCACTGGCTGGGCGTGGGTGGGATATCCCAACCCAGGCAGGCCAGGGAGAACAGGACAGGCGCGAGTCCAGCCCCAGTGCCCGAAGACATGGGGAGGACGGGTTGTGGCCATCACATCACGGGCCAGCGCAGAAGCCAAGGCACATGAGGCAGCAAACAGGACAGGCTGCCAAAGGTCTGATGTGAGCCCAAGGCTCCAATGTCTGGGCAGCTACAGCCACCGATTGAATAATGGCTCTCATCATTTGGCTACCTTCATGCTCTTCCCCTTCCTCCTCATTAGAAGTCAAAAATAACTTGACATCTGTCATCCACTATTTTCCTGTGAATGATCCAGGAGGGATCTGGTTGGGGCTGTTGGAGGCCCAGGAGCTACTAGGGTCAGAAGCTGGAAGTATTGAGAAAAGGAAAAGGGGATTTATACCACAAGCATCTTACCTTACTAGGAGGTGGTCCATGGTCATCCAAGTAAGTGGAATTTCCTAGGGAAAAAAAAAAGAAAAAAAATTAATGAATCCATTTTTTAAAACCCAAAATGAATTCAGTGCAAAATCACTGAAAGTAAACATTTTAGATATAGTTCTATATAAATAATAGTACCAAAGAAAAATGGGTAATTAATCACCAGTTTGGCCAGGTTTTGCTGATATTACCACGTTTGGTTAATAGTTTTGTCAGTTACAAACATTCTACACACACGGGTGTGTATGCACACAAACGTACAGGCAAAAACACGCACCATTATTCCTCACCCGTACCTATTGAGTTTACCTTAGACCTTTGTTCTCAAACTTCAGAATTACCATAGTGCTCACTAAAATACAGACTGTCCACTCTACTCCCCAAGTTCTGCTTCAGTTGCTCTGATAATCTGCGTTTTTAACCAGTTCCCAAGTGATACTGACGCTGCTGGTCCTGGAACCACACTCAGAACCCACTGCTCTATTTCTCCAATTTGTCTTGAAATTGTCAATTTCTCTTTACGTTTTCAGTCTAGCTTGCTTCCAAAGCTTGATTTGTCTCCACTAATAGACTCTTACTGGCATGTGTGTTTTCAGACCGTATGGTTATTGTTTCCTTAAAAAAAATGAAAGACTCAGAGGGGTTTGAAAGGGAATTAAAGTTTATTGGGTTCCTTCTACAAACCAGGTACTCTGCTAAATGCTTTACAGGTATTCATTCACCTAATTCAAATATCAGAGGTGGGATAGAATTGTCCCCATTTTACAGAGGAGTAAACAGAGGCTTGAAGAAATTTAGCAACTTGTTCACAGTCACACAGCTGTTAAATTGCAGAGGGGAGATCAGGTCCCCACATCTGCCCATCTGAAAAGCCTATCTAGTGTCTTGCCATCTCGGGCTTTTGCACAGCCCAAGTACTGCAAATGTCACCATCTGGCCACACTTGGTCACGTGGGAGAGCCAATGACGCCGTCAGTACAATCAGAGGTTCCTATTCAAGAGGGGTAAGTCTTGTGAGTCTTGGGGAAATCATCTTCACCGAAAAAGTGAAGAGGACCAAATTTGCTAACAGAACAAAATGCAGAACATATTGGAAACACAAGAGAAGAGTAGATTAAAGAGTAAGATAAATGTCCTAGTTTGAGTGGATAAAAGGTGCTTTTGACAGCAGAGAGCAAAAGTGACTTAAGAAATTGGAATAAAAAGGGGAAGCAGAATGTAAGCCAGGCATAGTTCAACTGGGGAAATGTATCCAAACATAATAAATAAGTGGGTTTTGGCTTATAGGTTTTTCCGTACTGAGTCATCATCCATCCCTTCTTCTTGCAGTCTTCTGATTTATAACCCACTTGGTATCCACAATGACTTTACTCTCACTGGCCATGTGTACATGGAAAGGGGCAGTAGGATCCAGTCTTAATGTATGAGACACTCAAACACAAAGACCTGGCATGCTTATGATTGGGCTATTTTTAGGAATCTTCTAAATGTGAACATGATTAACAATTTGTTAATCCTAATTATTGGGCTGAACTCCACTGGGACCCACATAAATAGGAAAAAAATCTATATCAGACTAAGTAAAGAGAATGTGCATAAAAGAATTTAGAAAAACTGCTGCCTAAGTCTAGAGAACTATTTAGAATCTTCCACCATAATGCAGCCGGTATAGAGAGTTCCCATTTGATGCTCATCATGAGAATGTGTCTTCCCGGGGGGTGGGGATTGTGGGAAATCCCAATCCAGCATGTTCTCCAGGTATGAGTCTCAAGGTTCAAAGAGACTTGAACAACAAAATGTTTCTAAAATACTAAAAGTTTCCAGAAGAACAAAAGTTCCTAAAAAACTCCTAAAAAAGAATGACATAAATGCATGATAGCTACCTCAAACACCAGACTTGGGTACCCACTGACTCCTTAGCACCTACCTTGGATGTCTAAAGGCATCTCGCACTTTGCCTGTCTGACACAGATCTCTCCAGAATTGCTCCAACTCCATCTCCCAAATTTCTGCCTCCTCTGTCTTCCTTATTGAGTTACACAATACATTGCTTCTCCCAGGGGCTCAGACCAAAGCCCAAGAATCATCCAGATCCATCTCTTTCCCCTATCCCATACATACCAACCTAGACACAAGTCCTGTTGGCTTAGCCTTCAAAATATAACTGGGATCTGACCACTTCTCACCAGTCCCTGTGGGCCATCCGGAAGAGTCCCTGCATCTCTGTTTATCCCAAATTTTCTCCCCTCCTGTTATGGCAACCAGAGAGCTCCTTTAATCTTATCAATTAGATCATGTTAGCCCTCTGATTAAAATTTATTTCTCTAAGAACAAAAAAGTCAACTCTTTGCCATGGCCTCTCAGGCCCTACTTGACCTAAGCCTGCCTCCTACCACACCCACCACCAACCACAGCAGCCTTCTTCCTGCTCCAGAACTACACCACCCTGTTGTCAACTGGGGGCCTTTCCTCTTCCAGAAAAGCTCTTTCCCACTCGCTTCATTCAGGCTCAGCTTGAACATCACTTCCTAATAGATGCCCTCTCTGAATACCACACCTAGAAGCATACTCGTTCATTTGTTTCCTTGCTTATTGTCATTGTCTGCCTCTTTCAACTGGTATGCAAGCTCTATGAGAACAGGGACTTGTCTGACTTGCCTGTTGCTTTGGTTCTTAGAACAGAGCCTGGAAGGTAGTAGGTACTCAGTATTTGCTTAATGAATGAAATGCTATGTTAACTGATTCTCTACACTAGAAATCTTAGCAATGGCTTGCAAGAAATAAAACATTAATTTACAATAGCCTAGTTTGCTCCTTAGCCACAGGGTTTGCAGTGTCTTAAACAAGTGAACAGAAATACTAACCATGGAGACTGGGGGGAAAGAACTATCTTAGAGGGGACAAAATTGTGCAGAAGTCTGCCTTATAACTTATCTCCTTATAACTCAATGCCAGGACTTACCTATCTGCGTGCTGTTGGGTAATTTTCTTAACCTCTCTGTATCTATTTCCTCTTGTGTAAATGAAGATAATGATGGTATACAGCTCATAGATATGGCGTGGGATTAAATAAAATAATGCATATAAACCGCTTAACCCAGGACCAGGTACAAAGTAAGCCCCCAATAAAAGTTAGTATTGTGATTGTCATTATTGTTATCGCCTGTTTAACCACAGTGGAGACACAACATTAGGCTTCTACATAGATGTGAACATGAAATTCCCACCTTACTATTTTCATTAATAAGCAAAACTGACATGCACTGGCATAGGTCGGAGTCCTGTAGCATACCTCCGATTCAACATGCATTTAAGTCCTTTGTTACTTTTAAATGTGGAAAATATTGAAACTAAGTAAAGAGTATATCATAGCAAAAGGTCCAGTCTATCCCTCTTTATTCAATGCTTTAAAAAAAAAAATGGACATTGGCCTAACGGTTATTTTAATGTTTATGTCTATACTAAATTATTTTCTTCGGTCAGAAAACAACACATAGTTGATGTTTTATTGGGTAGATTTAAGCATTACCTCAAAATTGAAAAGCACTGATGAGCGAGCATGACAAAGGTTCCTAAACATTAATAATAAATGCTTAGGGCTATGCTGGTATGTACTGATTTTCCTAACTCCTGATTAGACATTCTCTCATCTATTTATTCTGTCAACATTTACAGAGCATCTCCTATTCTGTAGAAAGACCTAGAAACCAAATAAAAATGAAATTCCTATTTTTGCCACTGGACTGTATCATAATCTTTATCGAGTGCTTCCTATCTGCCAGGTGCTTTATAAAGATTGTTTTACATAATCCTCATAAGGACCCCTCGAGGCAATGTAAGGTAAGCATCTCACCAGGCTGCACAGCCAGTAAACAGCACAGCAGAATGTGAAACCATATAATCTCACTATGGATGATCCCTCTTCCTCAGTAAAATGCAAAAATATTTCGAGATAATTCATTATTTTCCTGTCTTTCCTCTTCTTTCCTGTCCTCCTTCCTCCCTGCCTTTCTTCATTATGGAAGACTTTCACAGTCAGATGACATCACACAGAAATGAGTCAGTGCTCTTTACCGCTGCTTCTGCACCCAGAAAGGAACAGCCTCCCCAGTGCTGGCGACTGGACCATGTGCCCTGTGTCTTGCCAGCAGTTTACTAGAACACACAGGCTATAAATGCTTTGCACCTGTAACAGAGGTGCAGAAAGGGAAAAGAAAAGCTACATGGATACAGGGGTTGCTTTTCTCTTCTCTTAGGGTATAACCGTATTATTATTTAATATTTAGGTAGAGCTTTTCATCCTAGGATCTTGTGCTTTCATGGTGCAAAGTCAACAAAACTGTCAGAATTTCTGAAAATGAAGTTGGTAACTTGTTCTTTGTCGAGATCAAAGGATGAGTGCTGTTATCAAAATGAGCTTCCCTGTATAGGCTCCCAGGCATCAGAGAAGTTTCTGGCTTCTCTGCCCTGTAGAGGATTCCACAGAGGGTGATAAGGTGTTAGTTAAGTCATGCAAAAGGAAGATCAGACCCAAGCCCTCCGGGCCTTTGGGCATGAGCTCAACATAATTTGAGGAAAAGCAGAGGAGGACTGACAAGGGTCTGGAGCCAGGACAGAGGACAAGTACCCACCTGATACCCACCCCCACGTGCCCTGCTTACATCCACCCTAGACACTCCAGGCTCAGATCAAGATCTCTGCAGCCTGTGGAGGCACTACAATCTTATTTTTGGAGGTCTATAGGGGCCCATCATTTCATTTCTTTCCAGAAAGTAACCTGCACCTTTAGAGTCCTGATTCCAACCTTCTTTTCATGTCTCAAGTCCTTCCTTTGGGGATCAGGAATTGCAGTATCTTGTCAAGCTGGAAAAAAAGGTAGGGCATATACCCCGCACATGCTTTTACTCCTACCACCAGCCAAACTTTCGAAAGGGCCTGTCACCTAACTGCCAAGAAATCACCAGCGAGAATTGGCATAGAGCTCAACCTCTTACAGGAATTTAGGCTTAACCAGGATGCTCAGGTAGGTGGAAGAGACAGGGGGTGGCTTCTGATGCGAAGCCACACTCCAGCCCTGGGAGTGTGTCCATGCTGCTGTTCTCTACCGTGATGGTGGTGGTGGTTACATGACTCTATACATGTGTTAACATTTCTAGAACTGTACACCAAAACCAACAACAACACAGTAGTGGTTTAATGTGTTTTTGAAATGCCCTGTCTAGAAGGCAAGTGATCTCAGACTTTGCAACCAGCTAGGTTACAATAAAATCTCAGTTTCAACCAACCCATCCAGCCCTTCACGGAGACCTCCTGGGGAGGCTGTAAACATAACATAAGAGATTACTTGTAAATGTGCAAAGATGTTAAATTCAAGAGCTTCATGTACTAACAGAGTCTTTGCATGGTAGTATGTTATCAAGGTATTAATGTCCCCCTGCTTTAGCTGTCTTAAAACTATTTTTAGCAAAGATGTGTTTCAGGGAACTCATGTGAAGTCTGACACTAGGAACTAGGAGGCCAGGATTTGTGATTTGGAATCTGAAGATTTCTGGTAGTTTACTATATTATACCCAGATCTCAGTTGGCAGAACCAAGGCATATTCACCATATAAGGGTACTTCAAAATATCCGTGGAAAAAGAATTAAAAGATAATGCAAATCCTTCCATGAACTTTTTGAAGTACCTTCCTACAAGCACCATCTAAGTCTTCTATAAGACAATGATGTGCAAAGTCAGATATGATGTACCTGGATAAACAGGTTAAATCTCATTTTTGTAGCAGAGAATGCCCTAAGAAATGTCATTCCACTTTGAATACCTTGGTCTGCTTCCCCAAAGTTTTCCATATATACATGTGTAAACATGAAATAAGTTCACAGGTTATTGAAAGGAATACATGAAGATCATTTGTTCTATGAAAAACACTCAAAACAATACCTGCACATAATAAGCATCTTGTAAGTGTTCTCTAGATTACTAGTTGTGTTACTAGTAGTACCAGTAGCCATCACTGCCTGTCCATCCTCTCACTCAGGGTTTTCAACCCTACTGCACATTCTATTTGTCTGCTTTTAAGAAATATTGATGCCAGGCCTGAGCCTGAGCTATTCTGATTTAATTATTCTGGGACAAATCCCAGGCATTCAGTATTTTTTAAAGTTCCTCAGGTAATTCTAATGTCTAGACAGGGTTGAGAACCACTGAGCTACAAAACACAAATTAATGTACTTCATAATTCAGGCTGAATCCCATTTTCCAGAAGTAAAAAAATAACAGATCTTGTTCAGGCCCATCTTAAATCACGAGTCACCTCCATCATTTCTGGTGGGAGATTACACAACAGGAGGTTCACATCAAAGGAGAACACTGATGGAATGCGGATGATCACAGAACTCCCAGTGACAGGACAGCCTGCTCCACGGGCTGTAACGAAATTGAAGAGGGCCAGGGCTGGCTCACAGGCTGCCTGGGAATGGGCAGGCATAGCGCACCTCTGGGCACAGAGCTTACCCCTGAAATCATATGGGTCACCTAAACCTTTCTGGGACTTCAAAAATCCTTTCAAGATTAATTTTTAGATCTTCTAGTTTCAGAACATACACTTCCTGCAAACAATGTGTTGTTCTGTTGAACTTCTTGTTTCTTGAGTGAAAACAGGAGGTAAAAGTGTAATCCTCCATCTACCCAGAACTTCCCTAGGCCCTACTTGACTTAAATGACCAGGGACATTCCGTCAGTCTTGGAAGCTCTCATATATGATCCCCACATACACTTTACGGACCCACAGGATCTGAAAGTAAGTTCTCTGGAAAATCTGAAGCAAAGTCACTCTCTGGTCCCAGCGCAGAGGGGCACCCCCTCTTTCCAGGCTGGGGGTTTAGGAAGGAGAGATGAGAAAACCTGGTAAACATAAAGGAACCCAATTCTATGCCCATGTGAATCTAA